AGGACGATGTGGAGCTTGGGGGTGAAGAGGCAGCCCAGGACCACGGTGCCGCTGAGGCTCACCGAGATGCACATGGTGGTGGTCTGGACCTGGAGACAGGGCTGGGCGTCAGGCGCTCCTGCCGCCAGCCCTCTGCCCCCGGGGGGCAGGATGAAGCCCTCACTGTGCCACTGGCCAACCCCCCAGGGCAGAGGCTGCTGCCTGCACCCCACAGGCACATCCCACCCCACACCAGGTCCCTCCATTGGGGTGAACCCCCTGGAGACCCGTGGGCAGAGGATGAGCACTGCCCTGATGGGGCCACGCAGCCCCTGCAAAGGGGGTGCACCCTGAGCAGCACTCCCACCCAGCCTTGCCAACACCCCTTCACATCACGAGGCTGAAGGATGGCAATCACTCCTCCGCAGTCATAGCAGGGGGTGTCTCTGGAGGCCTTAGGGACATTTCCCATCCCCACCCTAGCAAACATTCTCCCTAGAGGGGTCTTCTCCCCAGGACTCATTGCCTCCTCAGTCACAGCCCTTCAGCCATGCTCCACCTGGTAACAAACACCCCAGTGCAGGGGTGACCATCACCAGGTCCGTGGCCAAAGACCCACACATCTCCCAGCCACACACCCTGCAGGACCCAAATTGCCAGGACCATTCAGGTCAGGCCCTGTCAGAGTCCTCCCAAACTCAGGCTCTTACTCGGTAGTCACTGGAGGTCACATAGAAGATGGGCAGGAAGGCCAGCCAGATGATGCAGGTCGTGTACATGGTGAACCCAATGAATTTGGCCTCATTGAAGTTTTCGGGGCATTTCCGTGTCTTGAAGGCATAGACAGTGCAGAGGACGATCAAGAGGACATTGTAGGTGAGTGAAATGAGCATGTTGGAGTCACGGTTGTTGCACTTGAGAGTGACGATGTACCTCTTGTCAGGCTCGGTCTCCTTGCCTGTGCCCGGGGTCTCCACCAGCAGCCAGATGATGACAATGATCAGCTGGCAAGAGATGAGGGCCATGCAGATGACCACCTGCGATGTGGGGCTTATGAACCGGGGGCGCTGGACCCCCTCCTTCACCCCACTGAAGATCCTGGCGATGCGATTAGTCTTGGTCAATAGGGCCGAATAGCAGACGGCGAAGGACGTGCCCAGCCCCAGGCGCCGAAGCATGCACACCTCAGTGGAGGGCTTGGCGATGAAGATGAAGGTCATGCTGTAGCACATGAGGACCCCAGTCAGAAGAATGTAGCAGAGCTCCCGGCCAGAGGCCTTCACGATGGGGGTGTCGTTGTTCTTCATGAAGACTCCAAAAACAAAGAGGGTAGAGATAAAACCCAGGCAAGAGATCGTGACGGGACCAATGGCCCAGGCGTCTTTCCAGCGGATGTACTGCTGGGGCAACTCATAGCAGCCATTCAGGGTCTTGTTGGGCCAGTAACCAAGCCCGCAGTCCATGCAGGTGAACTCATCCAGCAAGTACTCGTAGGGCTGGCAGGGGATGCAGATCCAGCAGCAAATGTCTCCGGGCTGCATGCTCTTTATCTCATTCTTCTTGCAGGGGTCACTGCACTGGGACACCGGGATGGAGGTCTCAGCCCACGGGATGAGGCTGGTGTTGAGGATAAGCCCCTCAGCCCAGTAGCCCACCTTCTGGTACCGGTACCGCCCGTCTGTGTGGTGGTAGTTGAAGATGTTGTAGCGCCCGATCCCATCACCGTAGCGGTCAAATCGAACAACGCTCTTGGTGTCTGCTGGCCTGAACGGAGCTGGAGGGAGGAGAAGGGGAGACGGTCACTGCCCTGGGGCAGGAGAGCACTCGCTCCTGGTGTGGAGGCAGGGCTCCTTCAAAGGGTCACACGCCACAGGCCAATGTCCAACCCATTGCCTGCCTTCCCTCTTGTGCTTGCTGCCTGTGCACACCTTAGGAGCAGGAAAACGGTGGAGAACTATGTCCCCACGTGCCCTGAAGCTCGGCAATCCCAGCCAGGTCTGCAGGGACAAAGAGGGGGATTCTGCAGCCTTCATGGCTCTCAGTGACACCTGGGTACCTGGGCCCAGCCCAAGTCACAGAGGGCACACTGCTAATTCATCCCAAATTATGTGGGTCCCTGATCAAGGGTCTCCAACCAGTTTAATCTCTGAAATGTGAATAAATCATGGAGCTTGCAAGCGAGCTCTCCAATGACCCACATTCATGGAGGTGTCCCTGTGGGGCCAGTCCCGCCCAGCTGTAGCAGGATGGAGTTGGTCTCCAGCTTCTCCACGCTGGGGACACAAGCCCTGGATTGATGACGGGCTCTTGGCATCCTGGGACAACCACAGCGCATGAGGGTCCTCGGGTGTGGGCAGGTCAGAGGAACTGCAAGGGTCAAATCTGGGTCTCATTTCCCCTCCCTGCCCCTCCACTCATCCCTTTCCAGTTAGGGAGCTAAACCCCATCTCCACCTCTGGACTCACCGTCAAAATTAACATTAAGCATAAATTCCTTGTAGAACCTCTTGCCATTGACGGGCTTCATGGCATCGCAGAGCTTGGTGGCATTGGGGCACAGTGCCTGGTGCATGTTGTGGAGAGAGTGGGCCATGGCATAGACCGCATTGACCACAAAAGTGATCTTGGACTCGGGCTCAAACTTGCCTGTCTTGAGGGAGTACCGGCTGCAGTCCTGCGTGTGGAAGCTGCACTTGAACTTCTGCTCCCAAAACTCCCGAAACCAGGGATTTCGGCTGTTGTTGTAGGGGTTGAGGTTACGGAAGTAGGCTGCAAACTCCTTAATGGGGTAGGCTGCCAGCTCAATGGTGATCGCTCCCTCCGCCACCGCTTCGCTCCCGGCCACCACACTCTCCAGGGCCCCCCACCCATCGCTGGCCACCCACGTGAAGGACACGTTGGCTCTCTGGGCAGCTGCCAGCAGCTCCCGGGCGTCTTCGCTTCGGGTGAAGAGCACAACCACTCTGGCATTGGGCTTCTGCTGCAGAGCCCGGACCACCCCATCGTAGGTCTTCTTGTTCATGGAGCGCCCCACCTTCTCCGAGGTGGCAATGCAGATGTTGCGCATGCGGGCTTCTTGCTCAAAGGCCTCGATCCCCGTCTCCCCGTAGTCACCCTCCGAGGCCACGGTGGAGACATAGGTCCAGTTGAAAAATCGGAGGATCTCTGCCATGGCTTTGGCCTGGTAGAAGTCTGGTGGGACGGTGCGGGCAAAGTAGTCATAGCGGGACTTGTCGCTGAGCTTGGCGCTTGTGGAGGCGTAGCTGATCTGCGGGATCTGGAAGAGCCGCAGCAGGTTGGCCACCTGCGTGGAGGAAGAGAGGTGAGAGCCCAAAGACGTGACCCAGCGAGGGACATTCCCATCAGAGGACTCCTGCCCAGCACCAAGTGTTGCACGGTGCTCCTACACACGACCATGGGGCTGATGAGCAACACCCCCACCAGAGGGGCCTGGCTGATGGATGGATGGACAGAACATTCACATGGTGCCTGAGCCCTCAGACGTGCTCATTTGTTTTATATTTTTTGTTAATATTTCATGTATTCCCCTCTGAAATTCGGGCCTGAGAAGGGGTTAAATGGATCTGTGGCAAAAGCAGAAACTCCTCTGCAGGCAGCCTGTGGGAAATGCTCACGGGCAAGAAGAAAGCTGGGGGTGGGAGTGTAGGAGGAAAGGGCTGTGGGGGCCGGGAGTCGGGGCAGAGCTCCTCACCTGGCCCTGGGGGGGCTGCAGAGCTGGACCTGGAGACCTGTGCTTGTGCCTCACCCATTGGGAGCCCCAGCAGGACCTTCCAGCCGCTTGGCAGAAGCCCTCGTTAGCTTCAAAGGGGAAAAGTGCCCAGCTAACGAGGCTATTAAAAACCCAGGTTCTGGAGCAGTAAGCGGGGAGCCTGGGCACACCAGCGGGGCCAGTGAGCCTGCCCACATCTCGCTGCTCCCCAGGCGAGAGATGTGGCTTAATTAACGTGCACAAATGTTCTTGACGACAAAGTCCACTGATGGCAAGAAGGTCCCTGAGCACAGCAACACTGCTGCCTGGCCTGGCTGCACAAGCAGATCTGCCAGCCCACTGTGTGCCCCGGTGCTGCTTGTGCTCCCTGGCTGGTGCACTGGCTGCCCGTGCCTTGCCCCCCACCTGCCTGCCCGGGGTCGGGATGGTGCCCCCGGCCATGGGGACACACGGCCTCCTCAAGCGATAGAAGGAACAAGCGCCAGCATGGGCTAGACTGGGTGCTGCCTCCGTCAGCCACCTGGCTTCTTCTGCATCACGGCTGGGGGGATGTGGGGACCCAGTAACCAGTGAACAGGGTTCAACATGTCCTGGGGACTCGTTAAATTGTAATGAGAGCATGGGCCACGGGCAGGCTGGGGACTCAGCTGGCCCTTGCAGCTGTCTGCGTCCTCAGGGGATGCTCCTCTCCCTGCCCAAGCTGGTCCCTGGTTCCGCAGAGCCACACTTCTGGGGACTGAGCCGTATCCCCCGGCTGACAGCCTGGCATGAGGCTCGAAGCGTTTGTTCTTGTGGGATCCCTGGGGACATGGGGGTGGTGGTCCCCTGCACCCACCCTGCTCCAGCTGGGCACTGTGTTTGGGCCCCTCAGAGCTGGGCGCCCCTTGCAGCTGGCTGCCCCTCATGGGCTGGATTTGGGGAGCAGAGGAGCTCTGCCTGCTGGGAATGGTGTCCCCTTGCCTCCACCACGAGGTCCCCCACGCCATTCTGACATCGGGAGCATCATCGCCCAGCCCCATCTGAGCCCTTCTTGTGGGGAGTACCTGGATAGAGACGTCGCTGTAGGAGCCTCCGATCGCTGGGGGAGCCTCCGATGACGCCGGTGATGGCGGTGGGCACGTCATCATGGACAGCGTATGAGCCGTCGGGGCAGATGTGCTCGGAGCCATCCACCCTGGTAAGGGAGGCGCGAACGAAGTCAAGGGCCTGCTCAAGGGCGTAGGTGTCCTTGGAGCAAGTGTCGAGGATGTGGGCGCCCAGCTTCACCCCTGGCAGAATGCTCCCGTCCTTGTTGATCTCATCCAGGGCGAAAAGCATGGCCTCCAGGCGCTGGATGCCCCGGTGCTCGTTGATTTTCCCACAGTCTTCGCTCCCCACTCCTTTCTCGTGGACAGGGAAGAGGCCCCCGATCACCAGGTCTCCGTCTGTGCTGATCTCCTTCTTGCCAGTCATGCCATGCCCAGTGGCCAAGTAGATGGCCAGGCACAGCAGCCACAGCCAGGCGGCCAAGGGGACCGCCATGGGGTGCACCGGTCAGGGAACTCGCTCTGCCCTGCGTCACCCACTGCCACCCATCAGGGTGAAGGCAGGCAGTCCCCAGGCATCGGGTGGCGGGGGGTGGCACGGCGTGGCGTTGGCAGGAGCGGGGGTCGTGCTGCCGCAGCAGAGCCCTTGGCACCTGGAAAAGCAAAGGGAAAAGCGGCTCAGTCTGTGGGCAGCAAGGCGAGACAGAGACCGTCCCACAGGCACTGCCGATGCTG